TTAAGCTAGCTGTTTTATTAATTTTTATTACACATTTTACAAGCTCTTGGGCCATGCACTTTTGAGTCGATGGCAGGGTGGTAGCTGTTCTGCTACATACAAACCGCCCTGATCAGAAGTGGGCTGTTATGAACTGTGCCACGTTCTTCACAAACAGGCAGAGTGGCAAGTGAGAGGCCTCACCTGTCGTCATGCTCTGGGCCCCAAAGCAATTGGAGACAGGTTTTGAAGAAAGAATACAAATTTGCTCCTAGGGCAAGAGAAGCCTCTGTCCAGGATCAAAGGAAATACAGAACAAGGGGCTGACTTCACTTTACAGACCAGCATGTGGGCTCAGAGAAGTCAAGTGCCTCGCCGGGGTCACACAGCCAGTGAACAGCAGCGTTGGGGTTGAAACGTGTGTGGCTTGCTCTCCTGTGAGGCAGGGTGCTGTTCAGCTAGGCCCCCCGAGACTGCTTCCTTCTCATGTGCTCCTGTTCTCTCCTTAGCTTCAGGCTGTCCATTAGTCGTGCCCCCTCTCACCCTCCGAGACTTTCTCATCTGCAGCACCTTAGAACTGTGTTTTGTACACACAGCCAAAATGACCTGCGCCTGCCACTCTCTCCCTTGTAGTTCTGTGCCTGGGCTTGGCTACAGCTATTTCACTAACTGGCCATCTCTTTCGTATCTAGACTCATGCTCGTTCTTTTTCTGGATTGCTGACAGTGCTGGCCTTTAAAAAGTCTGGAATTGTTTTAAAGACATGTCTTTTTTTATTCATTTAAAATCCACAAGGCTGAGCTGTCTACCTACAAACTGTAATTAGATGTGCTAAGGGGGGGGGGGGGGGAAGAAAAAGAAAGCTATCTACTTTGAGCAGAATCAAGAGCTCTGGGCACCAACTCATTCACTGAGGTCGCCCGAAGCCGTGTTAGAGAACATTCACGAGCAAGGTGGGCCTAAGGCAGCTTATCTGCCAGGGGCTAGAAACATGGAAATTATGGCCGAGAGGCCATGTCTCTACACCGTGTCGGTGCCGCCTACCACCAAAGCACTTTGAAATATTTCACATTTGTTTAGAGCCTAGGTTTTCTTCTTTTTCTTTTTTTTTGAGACGGAGTCTCGCTCTGTCGCCCAGGCTGGAGTGCAGTGGCATGATCTCGGCTCACTGCAACCTCTGCCTCCCAAGTTCAAGTGATTCTACTGCCTCAGCCTCTGGAGTAGCTAGAATTACAGGTGCACACCACCATGCCTGGCTAATTTTTGTATTTTTAGTGGAGACGGGGTTTTACCATGTTGGCCAGGCTGGTCTCAAACTCCTGACCTCAAGTGATCCACCCACCTTTGCCTCCCAAAGTGCTGGGATTACAGGCGTGAGCCAGTACACCTGGCAGAGCTTAGGTTTTCAAAAGACTAGTTTCAGCCCTAGTACACATTCTCAAGGTATACAGAGTGTATATCTGTATTTCAACGATCCCCCCAAAGCCTGAAACAGAATGCAAGAAATCCTCATTGAGTGACTAATTCCTCCCGACGTGTATGGTGCTTTATAAAGAGAATTCCATGCTTTCATGAAGATGTTTATCTCTTCTAACATTCTATCAATCCTCAGGGGTGGGGTATTATCCCTGCTTCACAGATTAGGAGTCAAATCCAGAGAGGTTAAGTGGCTGTGCTCCAAGTGCTAGAACAGGAAACCCGCTAAGTCCTAGGCATCCTTTCTATCCCGGCAAAGTGGCTTCCTCTGAGACCCAAGGTAACTAACATTGATGGAGCACCTATGATGTGGCGGGTCCCCTGCAAATGTAATTGAGAAGGGCAGAGTCCTCTCCACTTGTTTATAGATGAAGAAATGGAAGTTCTCAAAAGCTCAGTGACTTCCAGGGTCATAGCTTCAAAGCAGCAGAGCTGCAGAGAGGTGAACAGGGGCCACAGGACATTCAGAATCTAGCTTCTAAAGAAGAGATGCTGGCTGTGCTCTGTACTACACAGTAAAAACCTAGATTTATTCAATATGTACCTGTATTAGTCCATTTTTGTGTTGCTGTAAAGGAATACCAGAGGCTGGGTGATTTATGAAGGAAAGATGTTTAATGGGCTCACGATTCTGCAGGCTGTATAAGCATGGTGCCAACATTTGCTCAGCTTCCGGGCAGGCTTCAGAAAGCTTACAATCATGGCAGAAGTCGATGGGGTGTCAGCATGTCACATGGCAAGAGCGATAGCAGGAGACAAAAGGGAGATCCCAGGCTTTTTGTTTTTTGATACAGAGTCTCACTTTGCGGCCCAGGCTGGAGTGCAGTGGTGCGATCTGGGCTCACTGCAACTTCCGCCTCCCCGGTTCCAGCGATTCTCTTGCCTCAGCCTCCCGAGTAGCTGGGACTACAGGCACCTGCCACCATGCCCGGCTAATTTTTTGTATTTTTAGTAGAGACGGGGTTTCACTGTGTTAGCCAGGATGGTCTCGAGGGAGATCCCACACTCTTTTAAAAAACCAGATCCTGGGTGAACTGAGAACTCACTTATCGTCAAAGGGATGGTACTAAGCCATTCATGAAGGGTCTGCTCCCATGATCCAATCACATCCCACCAGTCTCCACCTCCAACATGCCAAATCACATTTCAACATGAGATTTGGAGGAGACAAACATCCCAACTATATCATTCCCTGAAAATACTAGGGACAGAGGGATGCATCTCTTTTTCAGATACAGATTTCCCCCCAACCCCAAACACAAACGAAAGATGATTAAATAGACTCAAGCAAGCATCACTGGAGTCCAGCCTGAAACCGGCTGCAAGTCATAAGTCAGATCTAACCAAGTTACTCTTTTGCTTCAAGTCTGGAAAGTGTACCTACCAGTTGCCTACTGGATTCATCCAAATCTCTTTGGCACCTTAAGTCCTTCCAATTGGCCTATAACTCAGTTTCCCCTTTTGCCCTTCCTCACACCCATTCAGGCCCCAAGCCCCTGCTGTTTTCCAAGCTCACACCCAAGGCCTTGGCTCTGGGCCTGTGCCCATGCTGTTCTCTCTACCCACAGTGTGAAATCTTACATATCTTTAATCTGCATTACTTCCATGAATCTTTCCTGACCCTTGAGTGACAATTAACAGCTTTGTCTGCATTCCATAGAATGGCTGTACATCTCTCCATCACAGAATTTAGCACACTGAATTAATAGCTAACATACCTGTGCGCCCCACTAGAGAACATGGCAGAGGTCAAGGTTTATTCATCTCTTTATTAACCTTGTTTAGCCCAGTCCCTTACACACACGTGGAGAGAGAGAGAGTGTGTGTGTGAGCGCGTGAGAGCAAGTGTGCTCGATAAATGCTGGCTCTTTAAGAACAAGGTTTTCGTGGTTAACCCAGCTTCAATATGAAATTCAAAACAATGAAGACAGGACTCAAACATAGCAGGGAAATAATATACACTTTTAACTCTCAAAATAAATACTAATCAATTTTATTGTATAAATACAGATGCTGAGTTTTCTTCCAGTTACCAACAGATCAGTTTCACATGCCATTTATTATTCGTGGTGGTTTAAAAAATTATTTAAATAACTGGTTAGGTCAGGATAAATGGGCACCATTAGAACTGCTAAAAAATATATAGCTGGGTACAATCTTCCAAAACTAATATTCTGAGGGGAAAAAAATCTCTGGAATTTCTAAAGTGGTTAAGGGGAAGTGAAGAGAAAAAACACAATCAAATATTCATTTGATAACATTTGCCGGCTGTTTAAAAGCGTCTCGGCTGTATGAAAACTGAAAGGGTTCTTAGCAGTTCAGAAATAGATAGTAATCAGTTTCCAATTCAACTTATATCTTCCAAGCAAACTTAATTTTCTTAGTGATTTACAAAACTTATTTAAAAGTTTAGGAGATAATAACTAATCCCATGTTTTGTCCCCAGCCACTTTAAACAGGGGCCAAACTCACTCTACAACTTTGGAAAACGTCAAACAGTTATTCCAGGAGACGGGTAATCCCATAGGTTCTACCCAGGTCATGGCAGAAACTGCAGACATCAAACAAGTTCAAATGAAAACCCCAAATTCGAACTAAATGAACCCAAACCTAAGTGGTGTTTTGAGGCGTCACCACAGGGCTGTGTGGGTCGAGGCAAATGTGTAAGTACCTAGCAATCAGCTCTGAGCAGCCCGATGACATTCTAGAGCAGGGCTCCCCGTGGTGCAGTGAAAAGCCATGAAGCCCAGAATCAACCAGGGAGTCTGCACAGCGGTGGGGGGCACTGACGGGTGGACCTGAGTCCAGGCTCTCCTGGTTGTGTGGACCTGAGATGGACACTGTAATCACGAGGAGTCCCGTTCCAGGCTGGATGCCTTGCAACCCAATGTACCTACTTTGAGTTTGGTATGCCATTGAAGTCCATCCCACATCTGGGGCAATCATTAAGTCCCACAGGGTTGACCTTCCATTCTGCAATCCTAACACACTGCCCCCAGAACCTTTTTTTTTTTTTTTGTAAATGTTACTTCCCTGGAGGGCCCCGCAGCATGTGCATATCCACGATGCTGTCTGTCTGCACCCTCACTGACTCTAAAATGAGCGACAGACAGTACACTGCAGAGAAGCTCCCGCTCCGTGTGAAGGAGCCCCACCTCCTCATGTGGAGGAAGATGGGCTTCTGCAGATCCAGTTAAAGCTTTCGACTGCCTGAGAGTCGGGTTTATCTGCGATGTAGTCATCCTATGAGTTCTCTACATGGAAAACAACAATATAGCTATACATTAAACTTGAGCCCAGGAATGCTTGGACACAACATAAAGTGACTGTGAGGCCTGCGAGTGAAGCTGTCATGCAGGACAAACGCGGCGACTGGAGTGTATACCTGTCAAGTGTTTGTGTTGCTATATACAATACGTAAACTGAATGAAGTCAACCGCCTCCGCTTAGATAGACATGGCTTTTGTTCAGGCTAGTCTTGTCATGATGTGATGTATGGAGACGTAGGTTCAAAAGGAATTTCCACGCTGGGAAAAAAAGTCAGGTCGGGTGAAGTAAACTCAATTTTTATTCTTCTATATAATACATGGATATATGGATAAATTTTCCTTTAAAGAGTTTGCAACCCTGAGGCAATGTCCTTGGGTACATAACGTATAAAGCAATAGCAAATGAAATCTAAATGCAGGAATGACAACTGGACTTCGAAACATAATTTAATATTCATCAAATTGCACACATACCAATAGTATTCTATATCTCGTCTAGCCTCTTAATCCAACTATCTCAACTGCCTTGCAGTTTGCCTACCAGACACCCTGACTCTCTACATACATTCTGTCATGTAAATGCCAACCTTCTGACTGAAATTTAATAAATTAACACGGGATTTACATCAAGGGATTCTTGTCTGATGAGTGCATTGCCAGAAAGCATGCCTAGTTCCTGACCACAGCATCTGCCCACATAAAAACTTCGGCCCCCACAGGGGATGAGATGGCATCTGACTGCAGTAACCTCGAGGTCCTTGAGGGTCCCCTGGGATCCACTGGAAGTTTTTCATCTAATCTGAGGGCCACATTAAGGCCACATTAAGGGTATGGCAGAGGTGGGGGAAAGGCCATAGCTGGTTAGAAGAGATGAAACGTCATGGCTACTTGGTTACAGAACCAGTGAATCTGATGTCCTGTTTTCAGGACGCATGGCCCGTTCATGGAGAAGACGGGGCGACAGTAGAGTCTAAAGGTGGACTGTGGTACCCAGGGGCAGGGAGAGGGACAGATGGGCCTGGGTGTAAGGAGACCACTATGCTGCTTCTTCATCTACCTCACGGATGGCCACAGACCTTTCAGTACAGGGTGGAAATCTATTTCTGAATATTCCATTTTCCCAAAGTTTTACAAACCATGGTGAGGGCAAATGCTTATGCGAAACTAAGGGTGAGTTCATTATATTATTTATATATTATCATCTTCCCTCTGAGGATAACATAGAAGGGTAAATAAAAAGCAGACAAATAGCTAAAAGGTGACTCAAGCTGTAAGCTCTTTCAACTAGAGGGTGATTTTTGCTTTAAAATAATCATCAGGCCCGAAAAGCAAATCTTGAAAGCAAAATCTAACTTTGGCCCACTGATAACAATGATCCTGAGTCCCTCCTTCATTCCCAAAGTCTGTTTTTCCGAGGAATATCCTCCATTAATATTCATTTTGTGTCATCATTATTACAAAGGGTTAAGTGCAGCTTTCACTTCATTTTAGGCAGAGCTTCTGCCCCGGTCCTACTGTTGACCTGCTCACTTCACTTCTCGGAACTCCTGCGTGGCCGGCGGAAGCTGGAGACGTTTTCATTCAGTGCGTAGATCCTTCGGGAGAACTCTTCAAATTCTCCCAGAACCTGTTCGTCACACTCTACCGCCACAGCGCTGTCCACCGGGATGCAGTTAAATGCTTCTAGCTGATCGCCTGAGGTGAAGCCTGTGGCTTCCAGCCCGATGATTTCTTCTGCTTGCTCCACAGTACAGCAGAGCTCAGCTTCTGAGACTGGGTGGAACTCGCCTGGAAGCTGGACACTGGCAGGCCCCGCCTGCTCACCGGGTAGGAGAGTGCCATTGACTGTGGCCTGGTGCTTGGAGGGGGCTTCTCCTTGTTCTTGGCTAGGGCGCACATTCACATGGCCTCCGTTTAAGCTGCCAACTAGATCCTCTCCTTTTTTCTTGTTTTCTTTGGAGAAGTCCAAGGAGGTGTCCAAGGAGGAGGAGAGAGAGGTTATCTTTCTCTCGGCCTCTCCCACGGAGGTGACAGTGGTCACAGGCTGGGCTAATGCTGAGTTGTAACTGGGAGGAGGGGTTTTGTACTGAAGTCTCTCATTCTCAGAGCTGGCCCGTTTTCGATGTCCTTTGTCTGGTGAAGGGATCCCCCCAGAGAAGCCTACATCTGCAACCCCAAATATGGAGCTTTGTCTCTTAGGAACAGGGATTGCACTGGAGGTGTGATGTCTGTCACTAGAAGAGAAACAAAAACAAGAAGTTACTTTCTACTTCAGAACTTGGTGTAAGCCTTCTGGATCCAGTGACAGGAAACAACATACTTAGGTCTGAGCTAATAAAAATAGGTAAGAATCAATCTTAGACTATAGTTATTGCAGTGTGTGAATGCAAAAAACAACATGAGGTATGTGGGTCCAACTTTGGGAGCTTCCTTCCAGCAGGATACAGACACAATGCAATATATTTAGAGAAGACGGCCCAAGGTGACGTGGGCAACAGAAACCTTGTCCTATAGGGAAGAGGTGAAGTAACTGGACAGGCTGGATCTGGCAAGAAAAACATGTGAAGGATGTAACCAACTTCGTATTTCTGAAGGGCTATCCATAATTTCATTCTTGTTTTTAGTGCAATTCAATTCTTAGTTTAGCTTTGAAAAGCAGGCATCCTCATCTGGCAGCGAAGTTACATGACTTGCCCACGCTCAGTGAGGCAGTGACAAGGCGAGACTAAGATCTGTGACTCATGATTCCATGACCAACAACCTTGCCAACACTCAAATGCTAACAAATGCTAACCACCTTGCATTAGAGAACTGGCAGAGGGAGACAGAGGGTCAAGGTGACATTTTAAAAAATAAAAAAAAATTTTTGAGGGGTTCCTTTTTTTTTTTTTTTAAATGAAAAACTACCTTGGGAAATACATTCTTTGATGGGGCTAGCCACACATATGTTTTATAATACTTGGTCTGCAGTGCCATCTTTTGAGTCTGAGTTTCTTCTCAGGAGGGTATCTTTGGGCCAGCAATAATAATCATTGTTCAGTTATACAAACTTTATAATTTCTGAAGTAATTTCCTATACATCATTTCACTTAGTCTTTACCAAAACTCTATAGAGAAAGCAGCGTAAAGTTAAGTCTGAAATAATAAATAATAATCAGTTAATGGAAATAGAGTATCTATATCCTGGAAATGATGGCTATGTTATACACTATGCTAGCTCTAGACATTCTTGTATGTGGATGAAATTAGCTTCAATACAACCATATGAATAGATTGGGTCCAGAGGCAGAGGGAGGTGCACACAGATCATTTGACTTGTGTGCTTCAGATGAGGAAACACGTACAGACGGTTAAGTGGCTTGCAGAAGGGCAACCACTAGGCAGGGGTAGAGGCAGAACTTGAAACTACACACACCCAACAAATAGTTCCCATATGTGCTTGGCCTTGGGGCAGGGAGACAGATGCAAGACCAGTAGGCCCTGCCTCCAAGGAGCTACCAATCCTGAAGGAGAAAGACATTCCTCATTATTCAAATAATACATTTTCAAATTACAATAGCAAGAAGTGCCCCAGAAAGAAGAGATCTGGGATTTCTTCCACTTGTTTCTATAGCCACAAGCCCTGGCCCCAGCTCCCTGCTCTCTCTCCTCTCAGACTGTTTCTGATGCAGGATTATACCTGTAGTCTCAGACACCCAAGCAAGGGTTATTCTTGGGAAGGGGCAACCACACAGCTTCTAATCCTTGGGTCCATCAGGCTCCTCTGCCTGGCTGTAAGTACTGGTGCCAGGACAGATTTCATAGTTAGGAGTGGTAACTAGGGTGCATATAGAACTAGGCAAGTAGAACAGTAAATTACAGTTTTTAGTTCTCAAGAAAAAACAAAACAGAAAAAAATCTGCTGGCCTCGATCTAGGTTTATAGTTAATATGTTGTCAAAACTCCCAATAATTGGGTAAGCTACACATTTCTGCAAACCTTGTTTTTACTCTACCACTTGCTGACCATGTCCCTCTCGAAATGATCTTGCAGGCTGACTAGGTACTCAAACCAAAAGAGAACATCAGCAGCACCTCAGTCTACAGTCTATTCTGTGCAGACAAGCCCAGCTTTCATTTGCCAGCCCAGCCCACGAGGGGTGGAAGCACCAGGTGAAGCAGCCTGCAACACTGAAGGTGATTTGTTGGTGTGTGGCTAGAGCCAGGTGCTTAACCCCTCATGCTGCGACCCTGTGCTGCCGTCCTCCCACCCCTGCCCCCACCCCAGGCGTCCTGCTCTGCTGCTCTGTGGGGCTCCCAGTGGGCTGATAAAAGGCAGGGCATGAGAAACAGGCCTGGGCACACCCAGCAGTGCTTGCCACACAAGAGGAACAGGGTGTTTGTAGCCCTCATTGATTCTGAGACGCTCTAAAAGTTCTCCACTTCGTACAACAGAAAAGTAATGAGGTGTGACAACCCCCACTGCCCCACCTCGCCAACTACAATGTGAAGGGAACGACCATTTTCCCGACCGTCAATAATGTTCTGAGCCCCGTGGAAGATGTGCTGCCCACACAGCCCTCGAGTGTCCTGCGAGGAAGACAGCAGGTGGTGGGTCATGCGGTTTGTTCAAGGCTGAAGAATCACATCTGAACCAGATTCCGTCTGACTCCAGAGCCCATCCTATCTATCGTGTCCCACATGGGAACACAACATTCAAATTCAAGTAACATTTGCTAAGTGCCAAAGACATAGTACACATCATGCTAAGTGCCTTCTCATTTGCCCACAAACTCTAAGATGGTATGTTATTCCTGTTTTCATGGATGGACTCCAAGGCTTTGAGAGGTGGGAACTTTGGTATTTTCTGACGTCCTGATTTTGTGACATTCTTCTCCAGTTCCCTTGGATCTGTATGAAAACTCAGGTAATGGTAGTATCAGATTCAAATTGGAAAATCCAAGTACCAGTAAAAGGTTCTCTCTCTCTTCGTTTTTTCATTTTTAAATTTTTTAAATTTTCTAAATTAAAAAAAAAAAAGTTTTTTAGAGACAAAGTCTCACTCTGTTGCTCAGGCTAGAGTGCACTGGTGTGATCACAGCTCACTGCGGCCTCAACTCCTGGCCTCAAGGGATCCTCCCACCTCAGTCTCCCAAGTAGCTGAGACTACAGGTGTGTGCTACCATGCCCGGTTAATGTTTTTTAGTTTTAACTTTTTTTAGAGACAGGGTCTCATCATCTTGCACACACTGGTCTCCAACTCCTGGGCTCAAGTGATCCTCTTGCCTTGGCCTCCCCAAATATTGGGATTACAGATGTGAGCCACAGGTCCCAGCCAAAATGTTCTCTCTTAAGAATGGTAAGGAAATTAGTTATTTTTGGAAAGATAATGAAGAAGTCTACATATCTAAGGTTTACCTTTTTATCACCACATTTTCCCCTCCATTTTTAGTTACATGAGATTAAACCTTTCAAAAATTTTTATCACAGCTTTTCTTACGATCTTAAAAAAGTTGAACAAGAAAAGGCATTTTCTCGATGCCTCTGGGCCACAGATATGAACATGTATTACTGAGCAATGACACAGTAAGGGGACTACAGATGTTCAGTGGTGTCTGTTCCATAGGACGCGGGTCTGGAGGTAAGTCTGGCATGGGTTCTTCGATTCCCCTCTGGTGCTGAGAGTGCCCCTGCCCGCAGTGGCCGCTCTACCCTTTTCTTAGTTTGCTGTGTTCTTGTAAAGCAGATATCCTGAAAATTGTGTGCGAAGTATGAGTAAACAGGATTTCAGTGGCGGGCCAGGAGCTGTCCTGGGCATAGCACGCTTTATTTATTATATGAGTTTGGTAACATAGTTTTGGCTGTTCAGAATTGATTTTTTTATTACTTCCAGGATTCCCAGCTACATCCAAATTTTTAAGATAGCGAAGCTCCAAACAGTTGAAGTATCAAATGATTACATTAAACACGCATGTATTTTTAGTTATTACAATAGTTTTACTCACAGGAAAACTAAAAATATGTTAACTATATAAAAAAAATAAAAACTCACAAGTCTATTACCCATCAAACAACTGCTATTAATTTTGGGTATTTTCCTTTCAGACTTTGATTTTAAATATGTGTGTTGAATTTTTAAAGAAATCCTATGGGTTAGGTGTGGCAGGCAGCTCACACCTGTGATCCCAGCACTGTAGGAGGACTGCTTGAACCCAGGAGTTTGAGACCAGCCTGGGCCACATAGGGAGACCCTGTCTCTACAAAAAATTAAAAAATTAGCTGGGTATGGTGGTGAGCGCCTGTAGTCCCACCAGCTGTGTGCTGAGGTGGGAGGATTGCATGAGCCTGGGTTGCAGTGAGCTGTGATCATGCCACTGCACTTTAGCTTGGGCGACAGAGCAAGACCTTGTCTCAAAAAAAAAAAAAAGGAAACAAGAAAGAAACACTAAAGCCGTGTTTCTGGTATATATAGAATTCTACGTCCTACTGTTGGATGCTATTAAAACCTCCTGGTAAGCAGAATTCTAAACGGCTGCTTCACTGAATGGACTATCATAATTTACTTAATTATTCCCTTACTTTTGTAGATTTAGGGTGTTTCTGAACCTTTACTATTAAAAAACAAACTGCTGTGAGCATCTCTGTATAAAAACATACTGCAGAGATTTTTCATAAAATAATTTTGATTTTATATTTAACAGGTTTTGAGAAAGACCCTTCATTCATATTTTAGTATAAAATAAAGAAATAGTATAAGATAAAGAAATAAGAGTATTTTTATCTCTACTCTTGCCTAAAGAAAGAAAGGCAGGAATTAAAAAGGCAAATAATAGTTCAAAACAGAATATTCAGGAGGTTTCAAGATTCTTTGATTACAGTCTGACTTCATGACTATTTCACCTAGATGAAGAGGTTGAAACTCACAGATTTACTAATTATATGACTAATTTTTAAAGGCTGTTGACAATTTACTCATCAAATGCAATTAGTACATTATTTATGTTGTGATGAAAAACTTACAGGGAGCATCTACCCTTAGACAACCAAAAGCAAAAATGTGTGCTTTTTGGGAGGTGTGGACATATTAGGAAACACGGTAGCTTTTCTTTATTGTCTGCTCCCACCAAGGGGCCCCGTGTGTTTGGAGGCACTAGAATTGCGGGTGCAGAGCCTGAGGTTCAAGCAACTGGACCGAGTCTGCTAGTTCACTGCGCACATTCTCCTCACCAGCCATTTCCCGTGAGTGGCTGTCTCTTCCAGTTGGGCTTAGCTCCAAACTGGAAACATGACATCTGAGGTTTAATGTTGCAATTAAAAGGAACTTATTAAAAAACAACAACCCAAAGATATCATAATTGCAAATTTACTAGGCTATGGTTTAGTGAAACACAGTATAGCTTGTTGAATAATTGAACCACACCAGAGACTGTTAAATTACTTAATAAACCTTTTGCTGTAAGTAAAAAAGGATTTCCTGAGGTCACAAACAATGGCACAGTGAGGGAGAAGCCAAGTGGCCTGGAGTTTAGATGTCAAGGAGGACAGTCTAGTTTCAGTTTGGCTTCTTTGGATCAAGTTTTCTCTGAGCTCTCTAAATTAAGATGATTAATTTGTTTCTCATTCTGTGAGTCCTTATTTATTGCTATCAACTACCTTTTCTCATCTCTTCAGCTCTAGAGACAGTAGTGACAAGAAGGACTGTTCAAAGACCTGGATTCTACTTCTAGCTCTGCCACTATGATCCCATCTATATGGAGTTACAACTTAAGGTCACATTTGTTTATTAGTTATATCAGTGGCCCTCAATCTTTTTGGCACCAGGTACCTGTTGCATGGAAGACAATTCTCCTGTGGACTTGGGAGCGGGGATATGAAACTGCCACCTCAGATCATCAGGTGTTAGTTAGATTCTCATAAGGAGCACACAACCTAGATCCCTCACACGTATAGTTCACAACAGGATTTGTGCTCCTATGAGAATCTAATACCATGGCTCATCTGATGGGAGGCAGAGCTCAGGGGATAATGCCTGCTCACCCCCATCGCCTCCTGCTGTGCGGCCTGGTTCTTAACAGGCCACAGACGGGTGAAAGTCTGCGGTCCGGGGGTTGGACACCCCCGAGTTATATGACTGTGGGCATATTTAATGACTATTTATAAAATAGATCATTGGATTAAATAAGGATTAAATAAAATAATGTGCTTAAAATCATTGGCAGGATGCCTGGCATAGACACTGGTGTCAGTAGTAGTTGTATCTGTGGTTGCTGTCATTGTAATTCATTTCAGTGGGCCTCAAATTCCAAGTATTATTCTCCTTTTACTGTTTCTCTTATACAGCATACTGTTTCAAGCAGGAACAAACAGAACTCCTCCCACCTACCTTCCCACACCTCCACTTCCGTACATCAGGGAGCTAGCTGCAAGAAGCAAATGAAGAAGTATGGTGCTGGGCGTGGTGGCTTATGTCTGTAGTCCCAGCACTTTGGGAGGCTAAGGTGGGAGGATCACTTGAGTCCAGGAGGTTGAGGTTGCAGTGAGCTATGATCACGTTACTGCATTCCACCTTGGACGAAGGTAAGACCCCTACCTCAAAAAAAAAAAAAAAAAAAGGCTGGGTGTGGTGGCTCATGCCTGTAATCGCAGCACTTTGGGAGGCCAAGGTTGGTGGATCACCTGAGGTCAGGAGTTCAAGATCAGCCTGGCCAACAAGGCCAAAGCCCCATCGCTACTAAAAATACAAAAATTAGCCCGGCTTCATGGTGGGCACCTGTAATCCCAGTTGCATGGGAGGCTGAGGCAGGAGAATCTCTTGAACCCAGGAGGTGGAGGTTGCAGTGAGCCGAGATTGCAGCCACTGCACTCCAACCTGGGCAACAGAGTGAGACTCTGTCTCAGGAAAAAAAAAAAAAAAAAAAGGAAAAAAAAGAAAAAAGAAAAAAGAAAAAAAAGTATAAAAGAGATTTGGAGAAAAAAAGATCCAAATCAATCAACAGATTTAATCTGTTCAATGTGAAACACAATTTTAGGCTTTTTTTTCTTTTTTTCTTGGGGACATGAGGTGGGGAAAGCTTTGAATAAAGTCAAAATGCTCAAAATTCCTCTGTTTACAGGATCTACCTACCGCTTAGGGACTATAAGAACTTCCCAGAATCCTTTGAGGTACATTCCAATTGTCCCCAAACCCCTGACGCAGCCTTTTTTCTGCATGAATTTAGCTTCAGGGAGAGAGAATTTTTGTAAGAGGGAGAAATTCTCTATTTCTCTGACTAAAATGAGGAAGACCATATGCAGCACTTTTATAACCATTATATAAATACCTTGCCATGGAGCCAACCCAGGAACTGGTAGAGCCCAGTTGCCCAGTTTCCTCTACTCCACCATCCTTGCCCCATCATTTCCCTCTCCTCTTCCTCTTGGTTTTACTGTCTGAAGCTATAGCCTCCTTTTACAGAAAAGAGATTGGGAAAGAGAGAACAAGCTAAGAAAGCACCAGTCCAAAATGTGATTCCCATTTCCACATCTCCCCTAGGTAACATGCCAGAGCTCCACATGCAGCGCCATCGTTAGGAAACACGAGACACTGAGGGTGCACCTCACAGCTCCCAGCCTAGGTTTCCTCTTTTGTAAAATGGTTATATCTACCCAATAGTTATTGCAGTAAGGATTTAATGAGATATACAAGTAAAATTCTTAGTACCAGGAATAAGTACCCAATAAATTATTAATAATAATAAAACAACGGCAACTAAAATTTATAAAGTGCTACTGATTAAACACTCTGTTAACAGCTTTATACATGGTCTCATTTAATCCTTATGACATCTCTATGAAGTATTACAAACATCATCCTCATTTTACAGATGTAGAAACTGAAGCACAGAGGTTAGGTAACTCGACCAAGGTCATGAAGTCACTGGGTAGAAATATGTGATTTAACCAAGCCGGTCTGCCTAACTGTTAATTTCCTTCTCTTTCCCAGTCCCTAGGATCTTAAGTTTTTTATTGTCACCAAAACATCTACATTTGATCTCTACTTCTATTTGAGGACGGGGTAAGAATGAGAATAATTTTTAGGTTAAGTGGATTGGTTTATTTTCCTTCTCTTCTCTTCCTGCATACATTAAGTTTTTGTTGCTCTTTTGACTTTCTAAGACTTATTATATTGTTAGGCATTCTAAGTATCAGCTATGAGTAGAAATAAATTCTGCCACGAACTGATGTAAATGTGGAAACTTACGGGAAAATGAAATAAAGAAAGCATGTAAAGATTTACCACATCAAGAGAGTTCTTGAAGCTGGGGTGAGGTTTTAACCATTTGAAACATTTTTTTTTTTTCCTAATAATTTTTCAGATTCACTTGTACTTGTTTTATCTGTCTACAACCAGGTCCCACACTGTAAACTATGAGGACAGAGTACAATTCACAATCTCAAATATGTGTCTTTCCCTCCCTACAAAATGTTTCCTCTGAGGGACATTACTAGATCACAGCTGGTCAAAATACTAAATCTTGATTGTCTGGCTCCTGGCCAAAATCTACAGCTACAACTCAGTGGAATAAGAATACTTAAAAAGAAAAAAAAAAACAACTTTTAAACAACTTTTGATCTTCTTCTTTCTCCCCCCTTGTAGCAATCTATGACCTCATGGCAGGGAGACCTTTACATGGAGGTGTTTAAGTTGGTTGATGGCCACTAGAAATGTTTGAAGCTCTAGGTACTACTCTGCGCCAATATCATGTCAACTGTGTTAAAAAGCAATAATAGTTTCTCACCTTCTTAAAGATTACTGCTTAAATAATGCAGAGCAACGACAGGCTTGCACAGAGTGCCAAAAGCAGGTTGCCAAGGCAAAGCTGAGGTAGAATTACGTCTTTTGGCAGCTAAGAAATTATGACATAAAGTTAGTTTTTTTTCAAAAAAACAACCTCCATAAATTAAGCTACTATCCTTTTTTCAAAATTCAGTGAAGGTTGGGATTTATCCTTCTTCTTTCCCTCTCTCAGATTAAGCAGGAGCTCAGAACCTCCTTTAGGGAAAGCCAAATTTAACAGCTAGATCTTATCTCCCAGGAGGTAGCTGGGGGTTAATAGTTTTAAGCATGCAGTCTCCAGGCCACAGGCAAGCAATCCAAAGGCCTCTCACCATTACTAGATAAGTATAAGTACTTAATCTTTGCCCTGGATGTTAACAAAAACACGAAACAAAATAAAAATAGAAACAATATTGGGCCAAAAGCACAGGCTGAAATCTGTGCCAATGGTCACTTTTCCCCTGGGCTTTGCTTGGAAGGTTTCCTGCCAAAGTCTGACTAAATAAAAACAGAGTATAAAACGGTATAACTGAACAAGGCAGCCTTTGGATTTTATTTAAACTGAGTAGTGATGGAAAGATGAATTGGTGAAAGAGAAAGTTCCACAGGCAAAGGACAAAATAAGCAAGCTGAAGAAATCCAGTTCCCCAGGCTTTGTGATGTGATGTCTTGGCCATCAGGCCTCCATGGCCCAGCTTGGGCCAGTGGACAGAGGATGAGGGGGTACCTATTGCCCAGAGCCCATCTGGAGGCCAGCTCAGGCTCCAGGCTGAGCTCCATGGCATCAGAGAATACACAGTGATCCTCCAGGGAGACAAAGAGAGGTCCTGGGAGGGGTCAAGTCAACCACTTCACTCATCAGCTTTCACTTTAAGAAATCATCACACAAATTAATGTACTAAAATCACAGTCAGGCAACCAACATTATGAGGACTGTAAAATGGTCTGTAGAAACAGACATAGCCCATCTTGATGTCATTTATATAGGGCTTAAGTAACATCCTACACGAGAACATGGAAAGAACAGGAAAGAGATGCCAGGAATGATACCTGGGGACCCCTCAGAGTGTCTGGACAGCACTTGAGACTTGGGAATAATAAACTGTTTATGCTGAAAACCAGGGAAACATTTTTAAAAAACCTCTACCTTTGCCAGGGAAACCAGAGGAACAACAATATCACAGAACCCAGCCCCAGAAGAAACTCGATAGGGAAATTAAAACCCTGGTCAGAGAATGTTTTCAGAATTTAAAAACTAGACTTGGAAGGGAGCTAAAGGATGCATTAGACTCCCAGGACCCGAGACAGAATCTGTGAGATGAAGTCTTTGAAAGATACAGCTAACGCTGACCTACCATCAGCTCTCTAATAAACTCTCACACGAACCAAACTGTGAGGGTTTAGTTGTTTGTTATTTCAAAAGAAAAATGATAGCTCTGCCACCATTTCCAGAGATGCTGGAGGCCTTGGGCAGAAGTGCTTGAGTTAC